TATTTTAATTACTTTAAACAAAATATGACTTTATTGGCCCATATAATCAAGCACACTAAGGGCTAGTAAAACTGGCTGATGGCATGATGGGAACCAGAGTCTCCACCAGGAGTTTCTCCTTCTTCTCTCTGCCTCTATTTTCTTTCTCTTGCACATGAGTTTTTTGCACAGAAGACTTGGTCCCCACATCTCTGAGTTTCACCCATTATTGTCTTGAACATAAAAGAGATCCACTTTCCTTTAGAAGAAGCTGGAGGAAATAGTATTATAAAAGACAAATCAATAAACACTCATCACAGGCCCTCCATGGTCGCCTAACAGGTTAAAGTGCAGCACTATGAAGCATCTGCAGCCACTGCAGCATGGGTCTGATCCCCGGCCAGGGAGGTGACCCACATGGCACAGCAGACCTCTCCTGACCCACCTGCTGCTCCCCTCAGCAGTGTGTTTCAGTACATCTCCATGTTCTGTTCCCCACTCCCTCTGGTGGATCCTCTCACCTTCTGCCCCTCTGGTCTGTACCCCAGTTCTTGTATGCGTAAATAAATAAAAAAATGGTAAAAAAACAAACAAAAAAAAAACACTCATCACTGCTGATTGTAGTAAGAAAATGATCATTTTTGGTAGTTCTCTCCCACTTCTGGAGAGTTATTTATTTATTTATTTATTTATTTATTTATTTCGTTAGTTATACATGCAAGAACTGGGGTATAGGCCAGAAGTGCCGGGGTGGTAGTGCGAGGATTCACCAGAGACAGAACACAGAGTGGGGAGCAGAACAGGCAGACTGACTGAAATCCACTTCTGAGAGAGCAGTGGCAGAGAAGAAGAGTTCTGCTGTGCCATGTGGGTCACCTCTCTGATCTTGGATCACGGATAGCGACTTAACCCCTTCAGCCACCAGGGAGGTCCTGTTGGAGCGTCATTACTAAATATGTTACAGAAAATTTTTAACTGGTTTCTGACACTATGCTTAGCTGCCTGACAAATGACATTGTCCATTTATATAGACAAAGTGTCTACTGTCTCAGATCCAAATATCCCAGGATTCCTTTCTCTCTCTCTCTCTTTTTTTTTTTTTTCGCTATCAGATCTGAGCTGTGGATCCCATGGAGAATCAGCCAGGTTAAATCTCAGCTAAGCTAAGTGGGCTTCAAAGGAGAATCTTGAATGTAATTTGAGGGGGCACTGTATTTCTTATTTTATTTCATCTCTTATATTCTTTATTGAAGTTTTTTTTTTGTATTCTCCACTGTGTAAGTTTCAAGGGTAGGTTATTATAAATCAGCATCTGTATATAGACTGCCTTAAACTCAGCCCTAAATGTCAACTGCCTCAAGATACTACTTTTTCTTGTTACCCAAGTCTCAATTCTATAGGTCAGTGAAACACAGCTCTCACAACTTAATGTCTCCCTCCCACACACCCAGTTCCCCCTAAAAGTCAGGTTCTGGATAATTCTTAGCACCTGCCAGGGGGCAGTGATGAGAAATGGTGTCCTGCAGTCATTAAAACCATACTACAGGCCCTCCCTGGTGGCGCAGTGGGTTAAAGCACTGCACTGAGAGGCTGAAGCCACTTCCGCATGGGTTCGATTCCCGCCTGCCCCGGAGGAGACCACATGGCGCGGCAGACCTCTCCTGACCCGCCCGCTGCTCCCCTCAGCAGTGTACTTCGTTGATCTGCCTGTTCTGCTCCCCACTCTGTCTCTGGTGAAGCCTCTCGCCTCCCCTGCACCTCTGGCCTGTACCCCAGTTCTGTATGCATAAATAAATAAAAAAATAAAAAAAAAACCATACTACAAGATCTGCAGGCCATCAACTTGAAAACAATTCAAGATAGAAGTCTCTAAAAAGGTTGGGGGGGGGAATTATTCCTCCTTCACTTATTAAACTCACTAATTTCAAAGAAAATCTTTCACACCTGATGAGTCATAATAATTATATAAATTCAAACTTCACAAATATATATTTCCCTATAACAAGTCAAAAATTTTCTCCCTGTAGCCTTTTCCATTTCTATTTTAAACTGTGACTCTATTTTAAACTGTCTCTCTTGTCTTACTCCCCCCACACAAGAACTTATTTTTATGTATGTTTAAGTCCAACTGTAATAAACTTCAACCCCTGAAACTTTATATTTTCTTTTAAAAAAATTATTTATTTACACATACAAGAACTGGGGCACAGGCCAGAGGTGCAGGGAGTGAGGGGATTCACCAGAGACAGAGAGGGGAGCAGAACAGGCAGATTGCTGCAGTGCATTGCTGAGGGGAGCAACGGGCAAGACAGGAGAGTTCTGCTGTGCCATGTGGGTCAGCTACCTGGCCAGGGATCAAACTTATGCTGCAGTGGCTGTGGAGAGCTTCATAGTACTATGGCTTTAACCCATTGAGCCACCAGGAAAGGCCCTGAAACTTCATATTTTCTGTTTTTCATGTTGATATATCATATTTATTAAAATATGGCATATTTTAATATCTCATTAATATTTTTCACCTGGTTGGAAAAGTCTACTTTACTATTATTCTGAAATGAAAGCCTAACATCAAGCCCGAGGGACCCAGCTGAAAACATGGTGAGAAGGAGGCCTCCACCCCAGGCACATTCTCAGTACTGCCTACCAGCTGGGATGGTGAATGGCCCCCACACCTGTGAGTTCGTAGACAGTGGAAGCACCCAGTGATTTCCCTATATTGCAGATCTAAATGGCACCATTTCCTAGAGAAATAAACCAACTAGGACAATTCAAACCCATTTTCTAGGAAAAGTACCCTGAAGATCTGGAGTTTCAAAGGTAAACCACGAATCAATCTCCAAAAACAATTAAGAACCATGAGAATATATCAAATGCAAGAATGAATGAGTTTATTAAGTCAGACAGAAGAGAAAACCCATATATATTGTGAAAAGAATTTATGGTGGTTCTGAGTCAACTGTTTCAGAATCACAGATGGCAGCAGTCTATATTTAAGTCAAGCTTTCATTTCACTGTCAGAAAGAAAGTCTGTCAGCCAGTGTTTCTTGTGAGAGAAAGGTGAAAAGCAGGTGCGGGTGCGTGAGAGATTTGCTTACATCGCTGAGAAGTCTGTAGTGGCAACTCCACACTGGGACGGAAATATTTTGCTGAAATTGCATGGAAAAATCAACAAGTTCATCTGCAGGACATCAGCCTCTAACAAGAAGATTGGCAGTTCCCAGAAGTGAAGTGGGTTGGGCGGGAGAAACTGGATCCATGACCCATGGGCTGAGAGCCAAAGCCACATCCCATTGAGTGGGAGCTTCCGGATCCAGATCCATGACCCATAGACTGGGAGCCACAGCCTCCGTGAC